TACATGTGTGTATATATATATATATCATGGGATTGGCTTATTGGAAAATGTGGAGGAAGCATCCATATGTCATGGAAAAAACATGGTTTCCTGTAGATTTCCCCTTAAACCAATCCATTGAATATATGATTGCAACAACAAACCACATATACCAGACCCCTCTGGCTCCCAGATCAGGCCCGGCCGACGCTGAAAGATTTGCAGAAATGCGAAGTGCCATGGGCGCTCCAGGTTTCTTCGGCAAACGAGTGGACATATAAGGGGTATATACCCTCTGGTAAACTAATTATATATAGCTATTGAAAATTGCACATTTATAGTTGCTTTACCTATTAAAGATGGTGATGTTCTATAGCTATGTTAGTTACCACAGGGTAAGGGGAGACATGTAACTTAGTTTGTCTTGTGGTTCTCTTTTGCAGGGTGTCCATCTTAAGTCATGAATTTTCATGATTTTTCCGCAAGGAAGATAAAATTCAAGGATTGGCAACTGTCCTGCTATGGGGATCCTTCACACCACTTTCGAGTATATGTCGGAGATTATAGCTAAAATGTTTATATATAATGGGATACATAAATGTATATATAATTTATGATATTCTCTTGCTGTCTAAAAGTAGCAATATCCGACAACACTGATCGCATATACATACATACATACATACATACATACATACATACATACATACATACATATTTCATCCAATGGTTAATAAACAATTTATAGGAAATTATAGGAATATCATTGGGATACAATCGGATCTTGATTCGAGACATCACTTTCCGGTAATCAGCTCCATGGTTTGCTGGAACATCCCCCATTTAGTTCGACGATATTCCCATTCAAAAGCTCCATTTAGTTCACGGTTATCAGAGGTAACTGTACAATTATCTAAATCAACCATACGTTCATTCACTATATTTAGTTTAATTTCACTATATAGTTGAATGAAATAATAGTGTGGTAACTATAATAGTGAAGATATGTTCAGTCAACTATACGTTTCACCAATAAGAATCTGGTTGGTTTGTGTTGAAAGTTGATGATGTCAACCAGCCAAGAGAGTGATGTCTTTCCCAGGTGATTGCGGGCGATTCCATTTCCACTATAGTGTGGTAAACCCAAGAATAAATCATCTCCAAAATAGCCATAAATCGGTTGTGTAAACCATCCCAAATGGTAGGCATCTGGCATTGGGTTTACCAACTTAGTTGTTCAAAAAATGATGGATCCTAGAATTGGTAGGGCAATTTATACAGGAAACCTCTATATTTCTGAGTGAAAAACCACGGGTTTCCTCCAAATGTATCCAAACGTTCCCTTTGAGCCAGTTGAATGGAGCATGATGCATGTTGCCCCTGATGTTTGCCGGATCTCTCCGAACTGTGGCCAGTCCAATCCTCGGCGCTATGCCGCGTTTTGGGGCGAAGCTCCGCCCGATGAGTAGCGACTTGGAGTAGTTGTATTTTTTTCCGGCGGAGAAGAAGTCCTTTCTTTAAGTCCCAATTAAACAAGCAGAGTGTTGGTGAAATTTGTGGTGAAATGAACCTTTGACTCCATGATATCTTCATATATCTTCACTTTAGAATACTGTATTTAGATAGTTACTGTCAGGTCATCGAACATGGCAAGCTGGGAAATCCCTTTCGGGAGATATTAAAATTGGAAAATCATCGAACGAAATGAGGGACTTTCCAGCAAGCCATGGAGCTGATTAGTGAAGGGTAAGTGGGGTGATGCCAGGGATCAGTGGTGACATGTTGTGACTAGTCCCAGGCCCATCCCCCCTTTGAATCCCCCCGAATGGACCTCCAAAAGAAATAGATCCAATACTAAACCAGGTTTTCTCAGGAGATATTTGATATCTGGTGGTTGTGGTATGTTGTTTCTGATGCCTCCTCTTGTGTTTTTCAAGGAATCGATTCGCGAACTGGGTACTATGGGATCAAGTGCTGTATCGATATGATGTTAGGGAAAGACACTGGCCCCTATGGCATATGTTCACTTGTTCACTTCCATGATTTGTTCTAGTTGTCTTTTCATGTGTTTTTTGTGTGGCGTTGTAAGTTAAAGCTACTTGAGAAAATGAGGCCATAGTCAGCTGTCCTGATTTGTGAGGATGCTCAACCAATAGAATGTTTATCCCCAGGCAGAAATCTAATGGTAATATCGCCAAGAACAATATCGATACCCTGAGCCTGAAATCTTGATGATCCTTAGCAGTCCTACAAGGTGCCAGGGGGTTCGTTTGCCAAGTTGGTTTAGATATATCAGAAAAATATGTGTATGTAAATATATATATATACGTATGTAATGTATGTATATGTATGTAATGTAATGTAATGCAATGCAATGCAATGTAATGCAATGCAATGTAATGTAACGTAATGTAACGTAATGTAATGTAATGCATGTTATGTTATGTTACGTTATGTCTTGTTATGTATGTTATGTTATGCTATGTTATGGTATGGTATGGTATGTATGTATGTATGTAATGTAATGTATGTATGTATGTATGTAATGTATGTATGTGTGTAATGTATGTATGTAATGTATGTATGTATGTATGTAATGTATGTATGTAATGTATGTATGTAATGTATGTATGTAATGTATGTATGTAATGTATGTATGTAATGTATGCATGTAATGTATGTACGTAATGTAATGTAATGTAATGTAATGTAATGTATGTTATGTATGTATGTGTGTATGTGTGTATGTATGTGTGTGTATGTGTGTATGTGTGTATGTGTGTATGTGTGTATGTATGCATGTATGCATGTATGTATGTATGTATGCATGCATGTATGTATGTATGTATGTGTGTATGTATGTATGTATGTTATGTTATGTTATGATATGTTGTGTTATTTAATGTAATGTTAAGTTATGTTATGTATGTATGTAATGTATGTAATGTATGTAATGTATGTAATGTATGTAATGTATGTAATGTATGTAATGTATGTAATGTATGCAATGTATGTAATGTATGTATGTAATGTAATGTAATGTAATGTAATGTAATGTAATGTGTGTAATGTATGTAATGTATGTAATGTATGTAATGTATGTAATGTATGTATTGTATGTATTGTATGTAATGTATGTAATGTATGTAATGTATGTAATGTATGTAATGTATGTAATGTATGTAATGTATATAATGTATATAATGTAATGTAATGTAATGTAATGTAATGTAATGTAATGTGTATATATATATATGTGTATATGTATATATATATGTATATTTATATATATGTATATATATGTATATTTATATATATGTATATATATGTATATTTATATATATGTGTGTGTATGTATATATCATATCTATAAATAGCCAACGGACACTACATAATTATATGTAAACCAACTTAGCCAATAGAAGTCATCACATTATGCACCACTATACACCTTGATGTTACCCACCCCGAGGAATAACGATTCCTTGGCTACGCTCGTTCCGAGCTGATTCGAATCCGTTTAGACCATAAATGATGGAAATATGTTTTGGGCGAAAAAGGCTTGAAACTACCTTGACCTTCGGTTCACCAAGACACATGCGGAAAAGATGGTGAACGTGCCGAAATCATGGGATAAACACTAATATGAATACGTACATTTGACATTGATGGATAACTTGAGCGAATTTAGGGTCAACCAAGCTGACACATACCTGTGACTTGCACATCCGGAAGTCCCATTTGGATTTCCGGTGCGCGGCCAGCGCCAGAAAAAGATGCGCCAGCGCCAGTGACACCCCTTTGGTCGGTGGATCAGACCTCCGGAGCGTTGGATGAAGATTTACACAGAAAAAACATAACTATATTAATTATGTTATGTATGGTCCATGACTCACATAATATAATATATCAGTATACAATAATATACTACAGTATACTACAGTTATCTACAATTAGCAACCATGGTTTTGGTGTTCACTACTGGTATAGTTTCAAGTTGGGTTTTGATTAACGAACGCTCTTTGGCCTTGCCCTTCTAAACCACGCTGTGAGTTTTCTGCAAGAGTTGGTGAAACGATGTTAAACGTTTTGAAATGTTGTGTAAATATCAAAAAACATCAAAAAAACATGTTGGTAAACTGTGGTTGGCGTATTTTTGACTTGAACCCATTGTGTTTTCCCTCTTTTCGACTGGCACTGCCACGGAATTGTACATCGGGTGCCGCCTCCGCAGATGTGTGGATGGAAGGTCTCAAATGTCAAAGTTTCGTTGAAAATGTGAATCGGTTCTGATTAAGATCTATGACACGGATGATATCCGCCAGATGCCATTTGTTTACTAGTTTACTATGATGTTCATCATCTTAAATCCATTTACTCCCAGCAATCGCTTGCTGTACAGCGCTGCGGCCATGTCACAAGAGGACGAGCGGACGGCCGGCAGCCGATATCCTGGAAGCGATAAGTCAAAACCTGTTATTTCCATGGGGAATAAACATCCATTAACCGGTTTTTTGGGGTACCTAGAGTACTAAAATTTTGACTCATTGCCATGTCTGGCTGGTGGTTTCAAAGGTGTCTTGGAAACCACAAAGCAGCTCCAACCAGATGTTTTTTTGATGAAGCATGATGAAGCTGGAAACTGTTTGTGCCGAACTGATGCACAGAAGATCCATCTAGCCTGCGCGCAACATTTTAGGTTTGTGAATATCGGAAATCCCTTCCACCTATAAAATTACGTAAGATTAGATATTACCCAAATAAAATCCTGGTTTGGCACTGGATCTATTAATTTTCGGGATATCAGAGGGATGGTATCGGGGGTGATAGGATGATAGCGAAGCTCCAGGAGCGCTTTCCAGCACCGGCGCACGCACGTCCCAGGCTTGTTTGGATGTGTTTGGGTGGCAATGGAGTGGGTGGCAGCGAAAGTTCCCCCAAGTTTGAGTCATCAGATGGATGGAATATACTGAAATTTCGACCAAGAAAAAACCAGAAAGCAGGAACGACTGCAAAAGTAGAGTCTGCAAAGGGGAATGGAACCAGATGACCAAATGAAGCAGTAAGAGGCATTGGACGGTCAAACGGTAGAGCCAAGTGATAAATGAGTTCCTTCGAGGATATGCTTTGGATCTTGGGTCCAACCCGGAACAACTGGCTGAAATTTGGGTGCAGGAACCGGTCATGTGGGAAAGTTGTTTGTGCCAGAACGAACATGTCTCTCTACTTAAATTATATACCAATAGACATATGCAAAAAGGTGCTTATCTGGTTGGTGTTTTCAAACACGTATTTCTTGGTTTCATCCTACTTACTGTGGGATGAACCATAAATATTGACTACTATCTGGGAGATGGGTTGAAAGCATATGCATGTCACGTTTTCTAGTTTTATAATTCTCAGGGAATCCCCTCAAAATGGACCGTTCAATACAAAATTTGGCAAGTGTCTGGGTCCATCAAAAAAAGAACCCTCCAAAAATCATGGGAACCACATAATTGTTACCCTCAAAATGTCACAGAAACCAGTCCAATGGGCCAGTGGAGCCATTAAAAGCACCCTGGTGAATTGGTTATAGGGAGTAATACTGGGTTATTGGTGATAATTTAGAACCCGTCGTAGGCAAACCTATCAACCAACTAGTATTTCATGAGACGGGATACTTGGGAGTGCAGGAATTCCACTGAGTGGATTAATATAACATGATATAACCATAAATGATACCCCAGCAAAATCAATCTGAGATATCCCTCTTGCACTCCCCAGTTATATCAATCTGAGATACCAGTTCGAAAATCTCTAGTTCCGGATCCGCTTCCTGGGTTGCAGGCCACCTGGCAGTGTGCCGCGTGTGCCTGCGCAGCGGCCCACCCCACATTTGCAGGCAAAGATTGGACCTGAAAATGTTGAGAAGATGTTATATATGGGAGGTATTGCATGTTTTTGATATCGATATATAGAGAAAGATACAGAGAATTAGAGAGATAGAGAATTAGAGAGATAGAGAATTAGAGAGATAGAGAATTAGAGAGATAGAGAATTGGAGAGATAGAGAGATAGAGATGGATAGATAGATAGATAGATGGATGGATGGATAGATAGATAGAGATAGATAGATAGATAGATAGATAGAGATAGATAGATAGATAGATAGAGATAGATAGAGATAGATAGAGATAGATAGAGATAGATAGAGATAGATAGAGATAGATAGATAGATAGATAGAGATAGATAGATAGAGATAGATAGATAGATAGATAGGTTAGGTTAGGTTAGGTTAGGTTAGGTTAGATAGATAGATAGATAGATAGATGTCCAAAATCTGTGGCTCAGTCCATAAGATTTGGCGATTGTCAAATCATGCCTCTTTTCAAGGCAACGAAAAAATATCCACTGCAGTGGGAAGTTTAGTGCCAGAATCGCAGCCTCAACGGCCATTTCTCACGTACAGAAGCTATCACCGTTCTCAAGATAGGTAAATCATGGTCCATATGGACCATGTACCCCGGCAAACTGTTTAATTTCCGGAGGCTACTTTGAAGACTCAATTTTGATAATACTCAGAAAATCTCAGAAAAATTACTCATACTTCCAAATTGTTGCATCATCTGTTGGCTCTTCTTTGAATCATGCTAATAAAGATAAACATGTTGTAATATATGATTACAATGTTCCATCATTTTCTCCACATGTTCCAGGTTTTTTTCTCCGCTCAACTTCCCAAAGCAACCCACCTCTGGCGCAGGGCTTGCAGGAGTTGAGGCACACTCCTTTTGTGGATGAGCTGGGGCTCAGGGATAGAGGGTCTGATTGTTTTGTTTCGGCCCAACGTGGGAACCCCAATGATGCACCTACCATTTGGGGATGGTGTTTACATATTTTCACAAATGACTCAACTAACCATAAATGGTTTGTCAAAAATGTGTCAAAACCATCCCCACATATCCCCAAATGATCATATATGCTCCTAGCATTTTTACATCGATGGGATGGTTTCTGATTGGGCCACGTCAGCAGATCGTAAGGTCAAGGCGACCAGAGGAGGACTGGGATGTCGTTCATCCCCCTGAAATGTGGAAGTTCCCACGGTCACCACCATGAACGCTGGCAGGAGCGTGGATATCCGACTTCGTCAGCTGGAGGACGCATCACCGAACTAGCCATGGAGGTTTAATTAGTTTAGTTCGCAAAATCATTCTGAACTAAATGTATCATGTTGTTAACTTATAAATATGAAACATCTAATTTTTAAGTCAACTAGATGTGACACACTAGATGTTCACACCCTTATGTGTCACATCTAATTTTTGGGGCTACGTGAGTTTGACCCATCAAAGTCATTCGAAGTCTCAGTCGAACGGAAGGAGATGCCTCAGGATGACCTCGCCGGGCCCAGTTTGCGAACTGGTGGCCATGGCCATAGAAATAGTTGATTTACCCAGTTGATTAACCCAGTTAATAGTGATGGTTAATAGTGGTTAAAGATGCTATAAACCAACAACAATGGGAATATGATGGTTATACTGGTTGGTGGTTTGGAACATTTTCTATTTTCCACTATATATGAGATAATCCTTCCCATTGACTAATATTTTTCAGAGGGGTTGAAACCACCAACCAGTGTAGAAATTGTGATTTTCCATAGTTTTTTTGTAAACGTTTACCAGAGGGTACTACAAGATTACAAGATGTGTATCTACTGAAACATACTGCAGCTGCCATTTTTTGTTGTTGAACTATGTCCAGAAGTCTGCATATATTTGATACATTTTGATACCCTCTGGTAAACTAACTTAACTACATGTTTCTCCATTGGAGATCACGTTCATGGGCAACTCTTTTTTTTCCATACCTGCAATTACCCTCTGGTAATCTAACATGACTATTGAAAATGGCCCAGTCGAAATAGTTGATTTGCCCATGAAAAATGGTGATGTTCCATAGTTTTTTGTATGTTTGCCAGGCCGGGCATCCGCAGGTCTTCCAGCACGAAACGGTCTCGTGGGGATGGGTCAAATGATGCACCAGGAATCCCATCAAAAATATCCCAATATCTCATTGTACCTCCCATAAAAAACATCAAATTGTATATCCCGTTGTATATCAATATCCCATTGTATATGCATATATATATATATACATAGTCATATATATATATCCCAGGTGTTATATATATATATCATATATCCCATTGTATATCATGTAAATATATTTATATATATACATTCTGTAATGGGTACATATGATATATCCCATTCCCAGAATATGTCCCATGATCCCAGGGATTTGTTCACAGCCCCAAATGTCAGGACATCGATCGCGGGCGCCAGAGGCCGATGAATGGGTAAACCTTGGGTTGTGATGGCGCCGGAGGTGTATACCCGGCCTGGTAAACGTAGAAAAAGCTATGGTATAGATGGCTGAAAATGGCCCATTTATGGTTGATTTACCCATGAAAACCATGGTGATTTTCAATGGCTACGTTGAATTACCAGATATGCCACAACTATACAAGGTGATACAAGGTGGTGCCCCATAAGTAGATAAGCTGTGTGGTAGATCTATAGTTACGCGCTCGGACTATGGTTTATAAACCAACTTACAACTGG